GGAAGGAGGGAAGGAAGGAAGGAAGGAAGGAAGGAAGGAAGGAAGGAAGGAAGGAAGGAAGGAAGGTCCAAGAACAGCAGTCTGTGATGCTTTTCATTTTCTATAGAGAATTCTGATCCATCTCTTTAGCTAACACAGATTAGTCCGTCTCCCAGTTTTGCTGCACAGGCTGGCACATTGATCATCCTCCTCCTTTCTATTCCACACCTGCTCCAGCCATCCTTGTGAGAGGAGGAACAGCAATGGAGAGTTAGGTGCCTCTGCCACCACACATCTGTGCATGCTTGGAGAGAGACTAGACAAAGTATCTCCATGTTGACAACAGAATTTGTTCTGCAGTGGCTAGACTGTTAGTCATCTATATTACATGGCAGCTAAAAAAAAAAATTAAAAGAAACTACAATGGTCCTTTTTGTATAAAAGGATAAATAGAGCATTTTATTAACACTTTTTGCAGCAACAAAAGTGACACAGTCCACATCTTTTTCATTAAACACAGCAAAAGCTATGGTCACATTTTACATCACTTTGAGGCACAAAGCAAAATATTTTATTTCTTAAGGTCAAGGTATGATTTGCATTTAAAAAAAGAAAAAGGAGAAGAAACAATCCTCAAGTTGTATATTGCGGCAGCAGGGTTTCCAATCACTAGCACAATACGATGAACAGACCAAGAATCCAGAATGGATTATTACATAGAATAATAATCATTTGATTGAATTAAGAAATGGATCGTTGTTGTCATTTTAGAGTATTAAGAAGTGGTCTGGTGTTGCTAACTTCAGTTTGGTTCAGTTTGGTTTAATCCCAGCAACCCCAAATATATACAACAAGCTAAATGAAGGTTAATATATAGTCTAGAAGATTATGCACTTGATAATGCATTGCACTTATTGCTTGGTACACTAATGTTGCAGTCACTGTTGAGTTCTGCTAAAAAAACAAGCATGATGCTTGTTGGCTTCTTTCAACCCAACACTTTGCCACTTTGGTTTATTGTGAGTTCATATGTTACTCATATTCAATGTCCATTATTATTAGGTTTAATTGAAAGACAAATAATTTATTTATTTTTTTCAGGGATCTCTAAAATAGCAACATTTTCTATAATTACAGTATCTTCAATAAACTTATATCTATGTATACAACTGTGGCACAATGTGTAAAAATATGAAAGCTATTAAGGGAAGAATAAGGGTTAAATTATTCTCTGTATCTTCTATTGGCTTCAAAATATTCTGCAAAACAAATACATCCTTTTTCATAGGGGTACTTGCTCATAGTAAATTTCTCTTTGGAATTTTGTAAAAGACTATATATTTTTCTAGGTTATATTGTTTTTTTCTCTAACAACACCAGTAGAAAGTTGGAATACACTGCAAAGAAAAAAATAATAAAGCTTGTTTTTTGATAAAGGGATTTGATAGTCTGCATCAAGTCTGACTTAACATTATATATTGTTTTATATTAGTTGATAAATGCAGGGAAGAACACGATATTAACTATAATTTCATAAGATTCTGTAAAGAATAGAAATAAGAATTTGTGCCCAAACATTCAGTATAAAACTCCTAAATAATTCCTTTATCCATCACAGAGTAGCCTGCAGCATGTAATCATGCTAAACATACAATATGCCCTATTTGTTCTTTAGGCTTGATACAATTACCATAGAAGGAACTGGATCAATCCTCTGTAAGTGCCTAGGACTCAACCTTTCTTCTTGAAGAAAGCTCTTGTCTTAGACTAAATACACAATTCCTACATTGCACTGAGTAAACACGTGTATTTAACACAATCTCTTTCAATACAGTGTAACAAATATATAAGTGCATTTTAATGGTCAAGTAATTTTGGCTTTCTAAAAAGAGCATTAGATGTGCCAACTTGGTTGCTTAGTTGTGCTTTAATCTTTAGTTATGAGTTTTAGCTCTTGTATACTGTAAGTATCTAATTGCCTCTACAGTTTTGACCAGTAAACCCTTAAAACTCTAATGTTTCTAGAACAAATATAACCTAATGAAAGTGATGACATGTCACAACTCATACAGATTGCACTTTAATGGATTTTTTTTACAGTAAGACCTTTCTGTTTGATATGTGTTTACATGTTTATACCACATTTTATTTCTGTGTGCAAACAATCACAATGTATTTAATCACAAACACTACAAAATATACCCAATATTTAGGTTTGTTATGAATAATCTCCTCCCTTGTAGTTGTATGAGTCTTGTACTTCCTCTTGTACAAATTCCTCTTTTTTCTCCCAACCATTAGGCCAGCCACCGTTGACCTGGGTTGTAGCACCATAAGACTTGGTGGTACCATAATTTACATAATTCTGAGTAATGTCCCCTGTCTCTTCAGCAAGTTCATCTTCATGAATAAAGCCACATTTCTCTTCACTTGTCTGTTCAGGGTCTGCCCAGGGTTGTTTCTCTCCTGAAGCAAATATGCCATAGAAGATAACACCTCCGTAATGAACTAAAGCCGCAATGAGGAAGACATACTGCCACTCTTCACGTGTCTGTAAAGAAGAGATTTGCTAAATCAGACTAGTGTATGGACTTCTTTAACTCCTCTGAGCTGAAAGATTCAAATTAGGGATTGCTGTAGTAACCAGCATAGCTAAAACCTCTAAGTGTCCAGTTTCCAATAGCCATCTTTCTTTGAAAAATCACTATTCATTAGCCTACAAAAGCACTGACCTAGTGAGCATATAGTGAAGCATGATTCCAATTTGCAAGTTCCTGAATGCTATCCCCTGGAGGTCCCAGACTCTGATATGGATATTTTGGCAAGTTGTACTATGGAAAGGTCTTTTTCTTGAGACCAATTGTAAGAAGATTTAAAAACTGTATTGCCATTTACCTTGTTCTTTGTCATTGCTCCGACAATTATAGGGCAAACCATTCCAGACAAGGTCCCGACTCCATTAGAAATCCCCATTAAGATGCTAGCATACCTCGGGGCAATGTCTAAATGGTTGACATTGAATCCTGCAATACAAAGGTCAGCAAACATTTATACCAAAAGCAGAGCATTACTTCAGTCCTGAAAAGTAATGCTATCACTTGACAATTTTACTGGGACATATTTGGGCTGTTTAATTGTGTTTATTTTCCTCTAAAAGGCTTATGATGGTTAAATAATCCAAGAGAGTCTCTGAATTTTCACTTTCTTTTAAAATTATAAAAGGATACTGATGTTTTTTCTTCCCAAAATTGCAGTTTAAAAAAAAATCCCAGTAGAGATTGTGTGGAATAGACAACCCAGAAGGTATTTAGCTAGGGAGAAAGCTTATTTTTTGGCAGGGTCCTTCATGAGCATTTAACCCTGTAAGTAACATGCCATTTCTCCTTTCAGCTTGTCTTTTCCTATTGCTCACATTTTTCTTTTTGTTGCACAGACCAACAAAAAGGAGTTCCCTTCTGCTCTTAAGTGGTAAAATGAAGAGAATGAAAAGACAGTGTCTAGGATTTATTTATTAATCATTTTTATAAATATGTTTGTTCTCTTGTGTTTCCAGCAGCCTGATTCTATTCAAATTTATGCAATAACTATTTAAATAATCTTAGAAAAAAACACATGCTTCTCTGAAGTGATAGAACTCATTATCCCCAAAATAAACACTTGAGTAAGTGAAAATAGAAAGCAAATCTTTGGGTACAGGAAGGTAATAAAAGAGAAAAGGGAGGCAGTAGGATGTAGATAACTGTTAGGGGTAGTGCAATACCCTTTTCCAGTTGTGCAAAACAGGAATGATACCTTACAAATTACATGGAATTAAAACCAGATTTGACTAAGGAGAGGTTAAATGTTTGGCACAAAAGAAACAAAATCCTCTTTTAGACATAAGGAACCAGCATGGGAGAGGATAGTAATATCACAGTGGGAAAACAAGGGAAGATCAGGTGACTTGTGTTTGGGAAAGGCAAAGGCAAAGGTGGGATATATCAGCAGGGAAG